TTGTTTGGCGGGTCCGGGCTGGGGATTCGAACCCGCCACCTTAGGTGTACATGGCTGGCGCCTTAGCCGGTTGAGCTATAGGCGCCGAGCCAGGGGAAACTGTTTCTTTTTGGGAAACTGCTCTTAATCCGTAAGCTCCTAAAAACCTCTAATCTCCTTTTTTTTCCCTGTGGATTTGCCTGTTATGGGAGTGTCATAGAAGTAGACACATGCAGTGTGTGGCCTCTCATGCCTGGTGGCAGTCTCCCATGCAGAGAGAGGCCATGTACCCTTGCTGTCCCTGAGGAAGCGCTATAGAGCTGTCTGGAGCTGTTCGTTTACTGCATGTGTATGGCACATCGCTGTTGTGTCCTAGAGATGCCTCCAGACAACAGTGAGTGCTGTGCAGGTTGGAGCACAACATGTGACTGGGTGAAACCCCAGAGGATGCAGAGGTATTCACACAGCTGGAGGCCAGAGGTTGGCAGAATCAGCATTGATTCACTCATTGCCCCTTGACATGATTCAAGTTCCAGATACACCCATATCTGGAAATTCGTCTCCTGCACACTTCCGGCTTCCCACCGATGGTGCGTGGTGAGTCACCTTTGTGGGCACGGGCACTTGGTGGCCTATCACATTCCTCTATGACTTTGGAAAGGGTCCCTGGAGGAGATTTAACATTTGGGCAAAAGGGGGGAGTTACTGTTTGCTTGAGGAGGCTGCAAAGTGAGGAGGGGACATGATTGTGCATCCTGGTGAAGCAGTGGCTCCTTGTCCTGCCCACAGTACCTGCCCCAGTGCTTGTGTACCTTTCTTCCCCTGTGAATTAGGGAGCCTGGGTAGAAACAGTTTCACTAACCAGGTTGTCAGTCTCCTGCCTGGGCAGAGGCGTGGTGCAAACATGGCTGTCTTTTGGTTGGAGTTTGTGGACAGCCCCAGGTGCTCCAGTCAACCTAGTGAGGAAGGTTTTAGAGCAGCGGTTCTCAACCTGTGGGTCTGACCCTTTTGAACAATAAAAATACATCCTGCATATCAGGTATTAACATTATGATTCATAACAGTAGCAAAATTACAGTTATGAAGTAGCAATGAAAATGATTTTTTGGTTGGGGGTCACCACAGCATGAGGAACTGTATTAAAGGGTAGCAGCATTAGGAAGGTTGAGAACTACTGTTTTAGAGGAAGCGCTATAGAGCTGTCTGGAGCTGTTCGTTTACTGCATGTGTATGGCACATTGCTGCTGTGTCCTAGAGATGCCTCCAGACAATAGTGAGTGTTACGCAGGTTGGAGCACAAGTGACTGGGTGAAACCCCAGAGGATGCAGAGAAGCCAGTTGTTAGGACAGTGTTGTTGAGGTGGGCCCAAGTTCTGTGTGTTCTGGAAACAGAAGACCCATGCATGGCCAGGCGCGTGGCCAGTGTTGAAGAGAACAGGAGGCAGGGAGACTTTGGACACAGACCTGGGGGGCTCTGCGTGCCAGTTATGCAGGTGGGGGTGGGTGGGACCTGCGTAGGTTTGCAAGGGTCTGCAGTGCCCTAAGGAAGCCCTCAGATTTCTGGTGGTGCCGAGTTGCCTGAGAGCTCAGGCCCCACATAGACAGGTGGGTGTCGAGGGGCCTAAGGACTGCAGCCTTCTACCTCCATCCACAGGAAGCTCTAGGTGTCAAGGATAAGGTCCAGCTTAGTGTCCAGCCAAGGACTTTGAAGACCAGGAAGGGAAAAGCTTCTTCCAGGGCTGCTCCCATAGGCAGAGTACTGGGGCAGTAGGGCTCAAGCATGCTCATCTTGCAGGTGTCCGAGGGTACCTTCCACACAGGCCTATGCTGGATACAAGGGCTCCTAGCTCCCAGAATTCACCTTCCAGGGGCTGAGGGCCAGCTCAGATGCTCATCTGCCCTAGATCTGGGCTTGGGCAGCTTACCTCAGGTGCCTCGGTTTCGTCTCAGTAACATGGGACCAGCAGTTCCTTTGTGTGGGGTTGTTATGAGATTCAGTGAAGTGATGACTGTGAGGTCCTTACAAGTAGAGTGGTCAGCACAGAGAGGGTGCTGGGACAGCTGATGGTGGCATTGTCTGATGGGTCCACAGAATGCCCCGTCTACCCAGCCCTGTGCCTTGGGCAGCCCCAGGAGCATAGGGAAACTGGAGGGCACTCTGGGAAGGTGGCACTGGGCATGCCCTCCCTGGGCATGGGGGTCAGCTGTTGTGGAGGTCAGTGATTGAGCTGAAAGGATGGGGGTGGTCACAAAAGCTGGGATGTAGTCTTGAGGCTGAGTGTGGGCAGGGGCTGAGCTTTGGGACCCTGAATATGAGGACCAGGGGAGCCTTTGCAGGGCTCTTGTTTAGAATGAACACTGGATGCTTGGGTTTGTGCAAGAGGGAAAGTTACTGGGATCTGCAGGCGGCTGAGGGCACCAGCTGAGTTACTGCTTGCTGTGGACTAGGAGCCCAGAGGCCCCAGAGGTCCCCCCAGCCCCTGGTCTCAGACAGTTTACCACTGTCTCCTATCCTCCTCACTCTCATGGCTATTTCTGGTTGCAAACCTACTTCTGCCACTCCACGTTCAGTTGTCTTTGGCCAGGTTTAGAGACCAACAGTGCCTCCCATCAGGCTTTTCAATGTAGTCACTGAGGCAGGTGGGCATCCTGGGAGTGTGGTCTTGGCTGTGCGGACCTGAGCTGAGCCTTGGGGATGGTCACTTTGGCAAGCAGGGGAGGCTGAGCGAGGTAAGGGAGGCTTCTTGTCACCCTAGCATCTTACAGGGATGGAGGCATAGGCACTGTATCAGCCCAGGCTGCTTTTCTGGGCTTCGGCATGTCCCCTAGCCTGGTGTTCTATCTGTGGAGGAGGTCTGGGTCTTGGGATGGCTGGTGGATGCTAAGGTGGCAGGTCAGGGACTCAGATGGTGAAGGGGATAGCTGGACCCTGGAGGAGAGGGCTGGGCAGAGAAGGTGTAGAAGAAGGGTATTGTAGGAGAGGGCCTAGTATCTGTGTGCCTGGAAAGCTGTGGAAGAGGCACCCAACCTCTCATGCCGTGCTCCCTTCTGTGTCCTCAAGCAGTGACTTGGGGATGGTAGAGCTTCTACTCAGGCGATCATGCAATTGCCAGGTGGCAAGTAATGAGCATAGCTCCACTCAGCCCCTTGCTGGTGTGAGAGTACCATGAACACTGTCTTTGGGGACTACACAGCGTGAAGCACCCCAGAACCACCTGACTTGCCTGTGCTTTGGTAGCCCTTCATGCTGTATAGTGAGATGATGATGGCTTTCTTGTGTGGTTGTGCTTTTGGACATCACATGCGTAGCACACATGCAGAGCCAGGCACACTGGAGCCTGGCAGCATAGTCTAGGTGCAGCGTCGCACTGCCCACATAGTCAGCACTCTGTGTACTGTTTTGATTGCCACCACTTAACGTGTGTACTAGGGACCAGAGTCAGGGCCTGGCGTCGGCAGCCGACTTTGTTCTTCCCTGGCAGGATGGCTTATCCCATCCTGGGTTCCTTTGGACCCTGATCAGTGGCTATTCTGGGAGCAACCCCGGCAACTTTTCCTCTTCCTTGTCCCAGGCCCTGGTGCTGGGTGGTGAGAGGGTGGTTGGGGTGTGTTTGTGTGTAAATGGTGTCCAAGCAACAGCCACAGCCTGAAGACAGCACAGACTTCCTCTCTTCCCCCACCCTCCACCCCAGCCGCCCACGCAGCCTTGGGTGACTTGCTGGGCTGGGCAGCCACTGCATACTGGATATCATGGGGGATCTGAGTTTATTCATCAAGTACGGAGTGAAGTGACTCTGAACCCAGAGGTTCAGGAACGTCCTTGCCCAGATGTAGGGTAGTGGACAAAGGCCCTAGGGGACAGGCTCAAGGCCACTCTGTGTGTACATAGTGTCCGGCCTCTTTCTTGCAGGCCCTATGCAGTCCACACCAGGGGACTTTACCAGGCCTGAGACTGAGGGTTGGACAGGACAGTTAGCCTCGGGTGTGAGATGATTCCCTGGACCACAGGGTAGGCGGCATGGAGGCTAGAGATAGGGGGTGCCAGGGGACCTGGGATGGGCGGATGCCTTGAGTGTACATGATGGAGGTGCTGAGCCTGGGCATAGGGCCAGGTCTTGGGGAGAGGCTGCTCCTGAGCCAGGTGGCTGGTGCCTCGCCCAGTGGGACCTCCCTGGACATGTCTGACACTGGCACTGCTTGTGCTCTGTGCCCACAGGGCGCCATGTTTTGGAAGTTTGACCTGCACACAAGCTCGCACCTAGACACGCTGCTGGAGCGGGAGGACCTAAGCCTGCCCGAGTTGCTGGATGAGGAGGACGTCCTCCAGGAGTGCAAGGTGGTCAACCGCAAGCTGCTGGACTTCCTGCTGCAGCCGCCCCACCTGCAGGCCATGGTGGCCTGGGTTACCCAGGAGCCACCTGCCAGTGGTGAGGAGCGTCTGCGCTACAAGTGAGTCCCTGCCCGGCACCCTGTTCTGTTCCCTGGCTTCTGGGTGTCTCACGCACTTTGACTAGGTCACCAGGAATGCCTTATGGAGGCACCTGGCATCAGAGCTTCACATTGAGGGTGCATACCTGGGGGCTGATCAAGCCTGGACTCAGACCCCTTCAGGATGCCATATATATATATATATGTGTGTGTGTGTGTGTGTGTATATATATAGATTTTTTTTTTTTTAAAAGACAGAATTTCACTGTGTCCAGGGTGGCAACTTCTAACTCTTAGACCCAAGTGATCCTCTTATCTCGGCCTCCCAAGTAGCTGGGACTACAGGCACCTACCACAGCGTCCAGCTAGTTTTTCTATTTTCAGTAAAGACGGGATCTCACTCTTGCTCAGGCTGTTCTTCGATTCCTGAGCTCAAGCAGTCCACCCGCCTTCGCCTCCCAGAGTGCTAGGATTATAGCCGTGAGCCGCTGTGCCCAGCCTAGACTGCCATTTCCCAAAGTGCTAGCTGAAGGATTAGAGTGAATTCTATGACCCATCACCAGCCTTAACAACCAGCAGTGTTTTGCTTATCTTGTTTTGTCTAATGGGCCCACCTTTTCTTTCTGATGATTAATTTCAATTGTAATTTTTTTTTTTTTTTTTTTTTGAGATGGGAGCCTCAAGCAACCTCCAACTCCTGGGCTCAGGCGAGTCTCCTGCCTTAGCCTCCTGAGTAGCTGGGACCACAGGCACCCGCCACAATGCCCAGCTATTTTTTGGTTGCAGCCGTCATTGTTGTTTGGCAGGCCCAGGCTGGATTTGAACCTGCCACCTTAGGTGTACGTGGCTGATGCCTTAGCCATTTGAGCCACAGGTGCCAAGCCTCAATTGTAATCTTTATTGGGATGACTGTGGAATTGCGGGCGGCTGTGAAAAGCAACAGAGATTCTAAGTACACTTTGTCTAGTGTTCTCCTGGTGGTGACATTTTGTAAAACTATCAGGGCATCGCAGCCAGGGTGTTGATGTCACTACCATTTGCCCGCTGAAAGGAGGTTTCCTGGTTTGCACTCTGTGCATGCCTGTAAAAACTGAGTTACTGCCTTCACAGGTTTGCATATGGGCAACACCAGTGCCAACCCGAGCACTTCCATCACACAGGGATCTACATGTGCCTCCCTTCCACACCAGCCCTGATCCTTGGCAGCTACTAATTTGTTCTCCATTTATACAGTTTTGTTATTTGGAGATGCTATAAAATTAATCAAGTAAAGTAACCAACCCTTTTGGGTTGGTTCTTCCCTCAGCATGATGTTCTAGAGATTGATCTAAGCTTTTGCACGAAAAGGTCATTGTTTTTTTTTCTTTAATTGAGATGAAGTAGCTAGGTGCCACCAAAACTAGCCTCAGCTTGTTAGTGTCCTCAGCCCCGAGCACTCACCCTGGTGCTGTGGGATTGCCTGTAGGGCTCCTGGCGAGGGTTACAGTGGATCTCTCACTCTTGGCAGCGTGGCCTTCACTTGTGGTTCTCTGTCTCTCATATCTGCTCTATGTATCCTCCCTGGGGTGCCTGGACACTCCCTGACCTGGGATAGCTCTGTGCACAAACTTCCCCTTGCTGCCTGCTGCTCCCTGCATGATGAGGGAGGTATGCATCGGGTGCTGGCCTCATAGAAGTCAGGGATCTGTCAGTGATTCAGGGCCTATCTCCCCTGCTCTCTCTGTCACTTCCTATACCTTTGCAAGAAACTCCTGTTGGCTTCCTGGTTTGCTGATGCTGGGCTTTTGTCCTGCAGGGTATCCCTGCTGCTGTTCCTGTGGAGGCCCTGAGCCTGGCCGTCAGGGCCAGGGCTGTTCCTCACTTTGCCCCTTGTAAAATGGGAAAAGAGGTGGCCTTCAGCTGGAGCACAGGGTCAGCAGTATTTCTTGTGGCTCCCTGTATTTGCTATCATGTGGCACCTAATCCTTTTCTTTCTCCTCTGTTCTGATCTCTGCCAGAGCCTCTGTCTGCTGGTCAGCTGCTTGATCAGCATCCAGTGGGCCATAGACTGAGCTCTTGTGCACAGCATAGCAGGAGGACACTTAGGGAGCCTCCGTTGTAACACTTGTGCCCTCTGGCCCCTGGGGACTGTGCCATTCCCCAGAGAGTCCACTTTCATGAGAGGGGGCAACTGTGTGGGTCCCCTACAGTCAGACCCGGAGCAGGTTGTGGTCCCACAGGGCCTTTGGTGGCATGCTAGGCAGGTGGCTCTTGTCTTGGGGGCCATTGGGCAGCATGTGGGTGTTTAGGGAGGAGATGAGATTCGAAGTTGAAAAAAGTCACCTGGGATGGGACTAGGAAGCTCAGGTGGCCCAGGAGAGCAGCCTGAGCTGGGTAGCATATGGGCTGCCCTGGAAGACGTCAGGGAGGCAGAGGGGATGTGCATTGTTAGGGGAGGGATCAGAAAACACTGGAGCTTCAGTTAGTTCTTGGGGTGGTGGGGAGCCCAGGGAAGGGAAGCTGGGTATGGAGGGATGTGGGAGCCTGCCCAAGGTCCTTGTTTCTCTGGCCTCATTCTCTGCCCTTACTGTGCTTCATTCCCTTTCTGGATACCCCATGTTTCCCCCCAGATACCCCAGCGTGGCCTGTGAGATCCTGACCTCCGATGTGCCGCAGATCAACGATGCCCTGGGTGCTGATGAGTCGCTCCTGAACCGGCTCTATGGCTTCCTGCAGAGCAGTGGCAGCCTCAACCCACTGCTTGCCAGCTTCTTCAGCAAGGTCATGGGCATCCTCATCAACCGCAAGACAGACCAGGTGCCCTGGCCCTCCTGAGCCTCCTGGCCGGTGCCCGTGGTGGGGGGTGTGGGCTGGGCATCTGTGTGTGACATGGTCTGCGGTCTGCATGCCCCTAGCTTGTGTCCTTCCTACGGAAGAAGGATGACTTTGTGGACCTGCTGCTGCAGCACATTGGCACCTCAGCCATCATGGACCTCCTGCTGCGCCTACTCACCTGCGTGGAGCGGCCCCAGCTGCGGCAGGATGTCGTCAATGTGAGTGGCACTTTCTGGATGGGGGTGTGGGACAGCGGGTGGTGATAGAGTCCTCCAGGGCAGGCGGTGGTGACAGAGCCCCACCTTCTTGCCCTCAGTGGCTGAATGAGGAGAAGATTGTCCAGCGGCTGATTGAGCAGATCCACCCATCAAAGGATGACAATGTGAGTGTCATTGTTGTCTCTGCAGCCTCTCCCCTGCAAGTCTGTTCCCCATGCCCACCCTCTCCTCTTTTAAGAGAAATTGGTGAGAAAAGGAAGTTTTGAGAACCAGGTGTGTCCACACCCTCTAAGAAAAGGAACTTGGCACGTGATCATTTGAGGAGAGGGGTCTACCCATCACTGTCAAAGACCCTGGGCCTCACTTCCCACCCTGCCTGGTTGACCCACCCCATCTCCCCTGCCTGGTTGACCCACAGCTTGTTCACTCACCCAGAAACCCTGCTCTTGAGAGTCCCAAGTAGCTTGACAGCCCTGAGTCCGTGTGTTCCCCTGGTCACTAGTCACCTTAGGCCCTGAGGCCCCAGGAGCAGCGTGTCCTAGTCCCACTCTCAGGAGGTTCACGGGCTTGCAGAGCAGAGACAGGGCTCAGGGATCCTGGGCTGGGCCCATCCCTGGGAGGTGATGTCTGTTCAGGTCACAGCACGGAGGGGGCATCTACCAGGCCCCCTCAGGTCTGGGGGCCACATGTCATGGCCTGGCAGCTGCTTGTCAGGGTAGACTCAGCTCTTCTTGCATTTTTCTTCTGTCCTTTTGTGGCAACTTTACTGAGAGAGAAATTATATAGCACATGGCACCCACCTAAGTTTATAATTTAGTGCCTTTTAGTGCATTCACAGCATTATATAATTATCACCATTCTGAATTTAGAATATTTTTCTTTTTTTTAAGAGACAGAGTTTTATTTTGTCACCCTCGGTAGAGTGCTGTGGCATCACAGCTCACAGCAACCTCCAGCTCTTGGGCTTAGGTGATTCTCTTGCCTCAGCCTTCCAAGTAGCTGGGACTACAGGCGCCTGCCACGATGTCTGGCTACTTTTTTGTTGTGGTTTGGCCGGTGCCGGTTTGGACCCACCACCCTCAGTATATGGGGCTGGCTCCCTATTCACTGAGCCATAAGTACCACCCAATTTAGAATATTTTTCATCACTCCAAAAATACAAGCCCTATGGCTGGACACCTTGGTTCATGCCTGTAATCTCAGTACTCTGAGAGGCTGAGACAGGAGGGTTTCTTGAGTCCAGGAGCTTTAGACCAGCCTGGCAATAGCAAGACCCCATCTTTCTTTTTTTTTGGCCAGGGCTGGGTTTGAACCCACCACCTCTGGCATATAGGGCCAGTGTCCTACCCTTTTGAGCCTCAGGCACTGCCCAAGACCCCCTCTTTATAAAAAATAAAGAAAGTAGTCAGATGTTGTAGTGGGTGCCTGTAGTTCCAGCTACTCAGGAAGCTGAGGCAGGAGGATCACCTGAGCCCGGGAGTTTGAGGTTGCTGCAAGCTATAATGACACCACTGCCCTCCAGTCTGGGCAACACAGTGAGACCCTGGCAACCCCCAGATGACTCTGTCCCCACATCTGCCTGTTCTGGAAGGCTGCATTTGTGGGACCACACCACAGGGTCTTCCTTGTTCACCCCTTTCAAACCTCAGCATGATATGTTTGAGGTGCAAACTCATGTGCTTATGTGTGTCAGCGCTTTGCTGCTTCTCATGTCTGAGTATATCCCATTGTTTGTCCACTCAGCAGTCAAGAGATGTCCTGCTTGGATAGCCTTCTGCATACCTGGGTGTGCAGGTCCTGTGTGCATGTGTCCCATCTGGGAGTTCTTCCCTGTTCTCTCCACCAGCTGTCCCCTCTGGAATCTGGTGCCTCTGTGTGACTGTCCCTGTCCCTTCTTAAGGGGCTGGGGAAGGAGGATCAGTGTGTGGGGTCCAGTGCTCGGCTATGGAGGGCCCAAGTGGCCCCAGCGAGGTCCTTACCTCTTCTTCCCCAGCAACATTCCAACGCATCCCAGTCCCTGTGCGATATCATCCGCCTGAGCCGCGAGCAGATGGTCCAGGTTCAGGACAGCCCGGAGCCCGACCAGCTGCTGGCCACCTTGGAGAAGTGCGTGTTCGGGGCAGGTAGGGCTGAGAAGGGGGAGTGTCCTGGGAATCCTGGTCTGGGCCCTCACCCTTCCCCCACCCCCCAGGCAGGAGACAGTGGAGCAACTCCTGAGCAACATGTTCGAGGGGGAGCGGAGCCCCTCTGTCCTCGTCAGCGGGATCCAGGTGCTGCTGACCCTTCTGGAGCCCAGGAGGCCGAGGTAAGGGGTTGACAGGGGTCGGGTGAGACTCTGTAAGCCTCAGGCAGGGCAGGTCATCGTGTCCACCATGCACAGTGCCCAGCCACCTTACCACCTGGTGGCCGGTGTGTTCCCTTACACAGCAGTCAGTACAGGGTGGAAAAGGAGCCTATTCTGTCATGTAGACAAGTGAACATATGGAGGCCACAGCTGGAATGGGGCTGGGACCCTAGGTGTACACTCAGAGGCAGCTAAACTGGCCTCACTGTGCAAGCCGTTCAGTCCCACAGGCCCCAGCCAGGACCTCTGTAGAGGATTGCAAATGCTGCCACTGGGTCAGCTCCCTGCCTCCCCCAGCCAGTTATTGTTCACTGGCCTGGTCTGTCCAGAGGGCCCCAGACCAGAGTGGTGCCAAGATCATGCCTTCATTCCTCCAGCCATGCTCCTCCTCCTCCCATGCAGGGCACAGACCACCTGGGCTCATTCTGTCCTCAACCCTACCCTGCTACAGGTCCGAGTCCATGACCATGAACAACTTCTTCAGCAGTGTGGATGGGCAGCTGGAGCTCCTGGCCCAGGGGACCCTGGACTGTGCTGTATCCAGTGTGGGTGCCCTGCATGCCCTGCGCCCACGGCTCAGCTGCTTCCACCAGCTCTTACTTGAGCCACCCAAGGTTGGGGCCAGGAGTTCATGGTCCTGGGGGAGGTGTGTACCGCAGGGACGGGGACCCTTTGGAACCAAACTTCCCTGCGCCTGCAGCTGGAGCCGCTGCAGATGACATGGGGCAGCCTGGACCCACCGCTGGGCAACACACGACTGCATGTGGTCAAGCTCCTAGCCAGTGCCCTGAGTGCCAATGACGCCGCCCTGACACAGGAGCTCCTGGCACTGGATGTGCCCAACACCATGCTGGTATGGGGCCGGTGGGGAGACTGGAAGGGGCAGGGGCTGGGCAGGGTGTCTCTTTGGTGCCAGCCTGTGTCCCCTCTAGGACCTCTTCTTCCACTATGTCTTCAACAACTTCCTACACGCCCAAGTGGAGGGCTGTGTGAGCGCCATGCTGAGCTCAGGGCCCCCTCCTGACAGTAGCCCTGAGATGCCCATGGAGAACCCTGTCGTGAAACATGTGAGCTGGGACTCCCTGACCCCTCCTGCTGGGTCTCATCTCTTGGGGGCTGCCCTCCCTAGAGGGCCTTCCCTTACCCCTTCCTCAGTGTGTGTGTGCTGGGTTGGAAGGTCGAGGCAGGATGGGCCTGTGAGCAGCTGAGAGGCTGTGAGGCCTGGTGTCTACATGTGTTTGTGTTTGTCCATGCATGTGCTTGTGTGTGTACTGTGTGCTCCTTGCAGAGATACCAAAATTTTAGTTGGGCAGGCTTTGGAGGTGGGGTCCCAGCCTTTCTGCCCACTCCTAGTGTGTGGATGGGCCTAGTAGGCACCTGTTGGTAGGAGACCATGATGCAGGTTGAGCTCTCCATGTATAGCCTCCCAAGGCCACTCCATCCTGTCCCCTCAGCTGCTACAGCGATGTCGCCTGGTGGAGCGGATCCTGACGTCCTGGGAGGAGAACGACCGTGTGCAGTGAGTACCAGCTACGTTTGTGCCTGATGTGGGTGGGGCGGCCCTTGTGCCTGGCCTGGTGCCCAGTTGTGGCCTTGACTCTCATGCAGGTCTGGGGGGGGCCCTCGGAAGGGCTACATGGGCCACTTGACGAGAGTGGCCAATGCCTTGGTGCAGAGTGCAGAGAAGGGGCCCAACGCGGACCAGCTGGGGCAGCTGCTGAAGGGTGAGGGCAGGGCTAACCTGGGGAAACTGGGAGTAGGGCTGGAGGCTGGGGGTGCCTCATATCCTCACCCCTCTCTGTCTGAGCAGAACTGCCCAGCGAGCAGCAGGAGCAGTGGGAGGCATTCGTGGCAGGACCCCTGGCAGAGACCAACAAGAAGAACATGGTGGACCTGGTAAGGCCTAGGCTCTCCTGCTCTCTCTTGCCTCTCTACCTCTCACCTTCCCCTCCCACCTCCCATCCTAGTCTCAGCTTCTTCCTCCTCAGATCTGCCTACCCCGCCCTCATCTGGGGTCTCCTTATTGGGGATTCTGGCAGTCCCTAACACCCCCAACCCCCAGGTGAACACCCACCACCTTCACTCTTCAAGTGATGATGAGGATGACAGACTCAAGGAATTCAACTTCCCGGAGGAGGCTGTGCTGCAGCAGGTGGGCTTGGGGCAGTGCTTGGGCGGGGGGCGGGGATGAGGCAGCCTGCCCAGCTCCCACTAACTCTGACCTCTGTCCCACAGGCCTTCATGGACTTTCAGATGCAGCGCATGACCTCAGCCTTTATCGACCACTTTGGCTTCAATGATGAGGAGTTTGGGGAGCAGGAAGAAAGTGTGAAGTGAGTGTCTTAAGGCCAGGGTTGTGTCCTCCCTATGTTGGCCAGTGTGCCCATGTGCCAAGCACAGTCATTCCCCCACTGGGCATATCCAGGCTGCAGCTTGATGTGGAGCCTGGGTGTACCATGTCCCCTGCAGTGAAGGCACAGATGTCTCCAGGGCTCAAGAGACAGAGCAGCTACTCAACCCAGGGCGAGAGTACATGGTGGAGTGGGGGCACCCTGCAGGTCCTGGTGCAGAGACCGTGGGCACAGCTGGCCACTGTGTGCCCCTGGGTGGGTGGGTCTGCTGAGCACAAGGTTCTACCTCTCCTCCCCACTGGAGGCCTTTGAGAAATGAAATTTTTTTCATCCATTAATTCTATTTGCTTTTATTTGTTGGGCAAACAACATTTTACCATCAGTCCCATCTGGGAGCTGTGATAGTGAAGTTTTTTTTCTGAGTTTCTTGCTGTAAGTATCTGTTGTTTTTACAATTAGAGAAAAACTTAAAATTTACCAGCATTTTGTAAATTAATTGCATGAGCAACCTATGGCAGCAGGCTGGAGGCAAAGAGAAGGCAGATTGGGGTCTGGGTGAGAGGTCAGCAGAGGGCATGTGGCAGGGCTCATGAGGGCTAGTTCCAGGTGGACACAGCTCTGAAACCTCTGCTGCCAGCCACCCCTGAGCGGGGGCAGGTAGTATGTGTGGTTTCTGTCAGTCCAAGATGGGGTTCTGGAACATAACACTGTGAGACTGGGAGCGGTGGGCCTTGCCCTGAGGCTTGTGCTCAGTGAGTAGTGTGTGAACTGCTGTACTGTTGAAGAGTAAGTCCACAGTGTCTCTGGGAAGAGTGAAAGAATGCTGCCACTGGAGGACAGAGCACAGAGGCTGCCCATATTGGGACCCTGTAGGGATGCTGGCATAGGTGGCCAGGTGGACACAGGCCAGAGGCAGGGAGCATGGGGTCTTTGGCCGTGTCTGCTCTGGGTGCCTCTTGGGTACCAGCCCACAGTGTATGTGCCCAAGACCAGCTGTGGCTGCAGGGCTCCTGAGCCCACTTATAGCTGGGGGGCTGGAGTCTCTCGTGTAGGTATAAATGTGAGACTCACATTGGCTGCTTCTGCGCCCAGCACAGGGTGCTTGGGCAACATGGGTCATTCAGGGCTGCAGACATTACCTTCTGGGGCTTGCCTGTCATATGCTTAGAGTCAGCGGTCAGAAACAGCGAGCTGTCCATTTTCTGTTGATCTTTGTGGCAGAATGTCTCCCAAATCTCATACTGTCTCCCATAGTCTCAAATGTCTCTGAGACTATGATCCCTTAACAGGTGAGACAGTGTACAGTGTGGTTCCCTAGGCATAATGTGCCTTACCACTTAACTGGAGGGAGACCAGCACTTTGGTAGAACAAGTGAGCAGAGGCTGAGAGGAAAACAAGAAGGAGATCGTGGGAGTAGGAACTGACAAGGTTTGGTTTTGGCTAAGTGTGTGTGTGTGTGTTTTTTTTGTAGTTTTTGGCCGGGGCTGGGTTTGAACCCACCACCTCCAGCATATGGGGCCGGTGCCCTACTCCTTTGAGCCATAGGCACCACCTAGGTTTTTGACTATGTGTGTGGATAGTTAAAATGTGTGGTTTTAATTCCTTACTCTAGGAATCGCATTTCTGTATGGCTGTTTGAAAGAGAATTGAGCCAAGGTGTGTGGTCATGGTTGCCCAGGGCACTGTGGTGGTGATGGGGAAGTTGGAATGAGGTTTTGTGGCCTGTGTCTGTACATGGTACAGTGCTATGGGGACAAGCTGTGTGCGCTTAGCATTGAGCACCTTGTGTGTACTCTGCCCTGTGCCAGGGGTGGTAGCCCTGGCAGGAGGATTTTGTTTAAGTTCTGAAAATGATTCTTTTGCCCATAATTTAGGATTTCAGCCCCAGACTGTAGGTACCTTGAGGTTAGGAAAAGTGTTTGGTTGTGTTGCAGCCCCATGCCCTGGTGCTGGCCAGCTCGGCTCGTGTGAGTTTTTGTTGACCCAGCAAGCCATCTGAGCATTCAGGGAGTCTTGTCAGCTGTGTTCCAGGGGGCAGTGCCCAGCCAGCCCACCGCACTATCACTGGAAACAGTGACAGGTGTTGTGGTGGGCGCCTATAGTCCCAGCTACTTGGGAGGCGTAAGGCAAGAGAATTGCTTAAGCTCAAGAGTTTGAGGTAGCTGTGAGCTGTGATGCCACAGCACTCTACCCAGGGCAACATAGCTATTTTTTTGTTGCTGTTGTCATTGTTTAGCAGGCTCAAGCCAGGCTTGAACCTGCTACCCTTGGTGTATGTGGCCAGTGCCCTACCCATTAAGCTACAGGCGCAGCTCTATGTGAGGTTTAGATACCTGCCTGACGTGGTCATCAACATGAGGTGTTTAGATACCCACCAAATGTAGTCATCTATGTGAAGTTATAAATGACTATAAAAAGTTATAGATGACAAAAAAATAAATCTCACATTGATGACCACGTCAGGCACGTATGTAAATACCTCACATAGGTGATCATGTCAGGGCACATATGTAAACACTTCACATAGATAAGCACTTGTGTAAACACTTGACATAGGTAAGCACATATGTAAACATCTCACATAGATGACCACACCAGGTGTGTATATGAATGCCTCACATAGATGATGTCAAATGCATATGTGAACATCTCAAATAGATGATCATGTCAAGTCCTTCAAAGCCCTTGTTGAGGTAGGCTGTTTCCTTGGTTTTACAACTGTAGAAAGGAAGCTTGGAAATGCCAAGTGACTCTGCTGAGGCCACTGCAGCACAGGAGCCAGAGTGGAGCGCAGGCCACCCTGTGGGTTCTTTAGGAGGCTGAGACTGTAGGGCAAAATATGGCTTCTGTGGCAGCTCTACAGATATCCATAGGCGACCCTAGATGCTATGAGTATTGACTCTGGGTGATACTTTAGGGAGTAGGTGAGTTCTCAGACATAGAATCTGTGAGTTGTGAAAGGCAGCTGAGTGTCAAGTGGGCAAGGGACAGAAGAATGCCCCCTCACTGCCCCTCTGCCTTCTCTCCTAGTGCACCCTTCGATAAGACAGCCAATATCACCTTCTCCCTCAATGCGGATGATGAGAATGTGAGTGCTGCCCCTTCCTGTGGTTGTGTGGCTGGAGGCCTGGGGGCTGCAGGCAGTGCAGCCCACCCTCCCACCTCCACTCCCTGCAGCCCAACGCCAACCTGCTGGAGATATGCTACAAGGACCGCATCCAGCAGTTTGATGATGACGAAGAAGAGGAGGATGAGGGAGAGGGCCCAGGCTCAGGGGAGTCCGATGGAGAGGACAGTGCCTGGCAGAGCAGCCAGCTGGCAAGGGGGGCCCACCTGGGCCAGCCCCCTGGTGTCCGGTGAGTCCCCCAGGCTCTTCTTTCAAGCATCCACTACAGGGCCAACCCAGGCTGAAGTGAAGGGAAAAGCCAGATGTGTTGGCATGTGTCTTAGTTGGGCTTTCGATTTCCAGCGATAGAAATCTCACACAAATGCACTAAGCCACAGAAAGGAAAGGACAAGCACTGTCTGTGGCTGGAAAAATAGGCAGGTCCGTCAGATGGTGCTGGGTGTAGGTTCATCTAGAACAGTGGTTCTGAACTTGTGGGTCACGACCCCTTTGGGGGTCTAACGACCCTTTCACAGGGGTCGCCTAAATATATCCTGCATATCAGATATTTACATTACGATTCATAACAGTAGCAAAATTACAGTTAGGAAGTAGCAACGAAAGTAATTGTATGGAGTCACCACAGCATGAGGATCTGTATTAAAGGGTGGTGGCATTAGGATGGTTGAGAACCGCTGATCTAGGATATTCCTTGGCTCCTTTCCTCCCCCTCCACTCCGTGTGTCAACACTTAATGCACGTTTCCACAAATGGGTAGAACAGTCCCAAGCAGTTTTTCCCCTAATTCCCATATAATAAGCAATGATGACTTAGGCAGGGATCAGTTTTTTGCACAGATGTGACGATGTTTTTTCCTAGCAGTGGTGGTTACTAGAGTCACTGTGTTGATGTGGCTTCATGCTGTGTAGACATGCTGGCATGGATACCATGCAGTCTCCAGCTCTACGCATTTGACCTTTGGCTTGGAAATTAGAGTATTTTATTTTTTGTGTATGAGACAAGAGTCTTACTATGTCACCCTCAGTAGAGTGCTGTGGTGTCACAGCAACCTCTAACTCGTAAGCGATTCTCTTGCCTCAGCCTCCCAAGTAGCTGGGACTACAGACGTCTGCTACAACAGCTGGCCACTTTTTTTTTTTATTGCAGGTGTCATTGTTTAGCAGGATCAGACCAGGTTTGAACCTACCTGCCTCGGGTGTATGTGGCTGGCACCCTAACCATTAGGCTACAGCCACCAAGCCAAGGAAATTAGAGTGTTTTGTTTTTACTTTTTTTTGAGACAGAATCTCAAGCTGTCCCCCTGGGTAGAGTGCTGTGGCATCACAGCTCACAGCAACCTCCAACTCCTGGGCGCAAGTGAGTCTCCTGCCTCAAGCCTCCCAAGTAGCTGGGACCACAGGCGCCTGCCACATGCCTGGCTGTTTTTTAGTTGCAGCCATAATTGTTGTTTGGAGGGCCCAGGCTGGATTAGAACCCGCCACCTTAGGTGTATGTGGCTGGCGCCTTAGCCACTTGAGCCACAGGCACCGAGCCTTGTTTTCACTTTTTATTGATGTAATGTGCTTACAGACAAGTGTAGATTCTAAGTATATAGCCAAGCAGACACTCCTCTGTCAACCCCTGGTCAGGAGCAAAACCACCACAGTACCTGTTCACTTTGAATGCAGGGCTGCTGCCAACACTCTCGCGTGGGTCACTGGTGCACAAGTATGTCATCACTGGCACTCTAGGAGGCCAAGTTGAGTGGATTGCCTGAGCTCAGGAGAGCAAGAGCAAGACCCCATCTCTAAAAATAGCCAGGCGTGTGGCAGGCACCTGTAGTCCCAGCTACTTGGGAGCCTGAGGCAAAAGAATCACCTGAGCCTGAGAGTTTGAGTTTGCTGTGAGCTATGACACTACAGCACACTACCAGGGTAACAAAGTGAAACTTTGTCTCAAAAAAAAAAAGTATGTATCATTGCCAAATCCAGCATTATAACTTAACTGCTTGGTTTTCTCCTAAGAGTTTTATGGTGTTAATTTTATTATTTTTGTACCACTGTGGGCTAATTTTTGTATATATGGTAAGGTAGGAGTATAACTTCATCCTTTAGCATGGAGATAACCAGTTTTCCTAGAACCAGTTGTTGAAGAGACTGTCTTTTCTCCATTGTATGTCTTGGCAACCTTGTTTAAAATCATTTGACGGTATGTGTGGGGATTTATTCTGCCCTTGCTGTTCCATTCTTTTGATCTGTGTCTGTCTTTTTTTTTTTTTTTTTTTTTTTGAGACAGAGCCTCAAACTGTCCCCCTGGGTAGAGTGCCGTGGCATTACAGCTCACAGCAACCTCCAACTCCT